CGGGCGGCGAGCGGGGATGTTTCCCTGCAGCGAACACGCCCAGGGAGGCCAAGCAACAGTTCCTGGCCCCAGAGCTGGGCGGGGAACCCACACGGCCTGGCCCCCCATGAGCTGGATGGGGAACCCACACGGCCTGGCCCCCCATGAGCTGGATGGGGAACCCACGCGGCCTGGCACTGGGGTCTCTGTGTGGCGCCCGCCCGGCTGGTTATAACAGCTCTGCTCCACGCCCACAGGGTCTGGAGGAGCACACGGAGGCCCGGGGTCCCAGGCCGGGTCTCTGTTCAACCGGCTCATTTTTGCAGCAAGGAAACCAGGGCCCGAAAGGGAAGGGAAGAAACCTGGCCCGAGGTTACCCCGCAAGCCGGAGCCAGAACGTCCCCAAGCCCCTCCCGCCTCACCCTCTCGGGCACCTTCTTGCCCCCCCTCACCCACCCCCCCGGCAGCTGGGGCTCAGTTTCCCTGAGCTGAATCGGGGGACACGAGTTGGGGCACCGCCTCTAATGTTCAGGCTCCCCAGGAAAATCCCGGCTGCCCGGGCGCTGGGGGACGGCCTGGCACAGCCGTCCTGTCCAGGGCGCGGCCTGGGAGGTGAGCAGCGGCTTCCCGGCTCCGTCAGGCCTGGGGACAGACGGCCGCCCCCGCTGCCCTTTCTCCGGGCCAGTGTGGCCACGACCCAAAGTCTGGAGAAGCGATGTAGGTGTTCCCGACGTGGCACTAGAGGCCACGTCACTGCAGGGAGTGGGGCCCTGCCCCAGCCTCTCTGCTGACTGGGGGGGGGGGGGGGGGATGCTCCCCGCGCTGGGCCTCGGCGCCCCTGCCGCCTGTGAGCCTCCGTGAGGGCAGCCAGTGTCGGCCAGACCAAATGGCCTAGTTCTATCTCCATTACGTCTATTGTCGCCATTGCTATCCGTAAGGTGGTTTGCACTGGCTTCATCTTTATCAAGGTTTTTCCCCCTAAAAATAAATGTATTTTCACTTTCAACTCAATTAAGAAAGAGTATTGAGTAAGTCGTCAGGGAAGATGGCAGCTCTGGCTAACACTGCGCACTCACGGAACCGCAGCCTGGCCAGGGCCGGTGCTGAGGGCGGGAGGTGGAATGGGGGGGAGGACGGGGGAGGGGAGGCGGGAAGGAGGGGGGCGCTGTGACTGGGGAGGGAGGTGGCCCGGGGATCCCAGGCCCACCCCTGTCAGCCCAGGGCAGGCCGGGCACCCGGCGTGGGCGTTAGTTAGTTGGCGGTTTCCCGGCTGTGGTCCAGGCAGAGGGAAGGTGGCCTCAAACCGGTGGCCCTTTCCTGCAAACCCCTGTCCTGAAGCCTCCGCTGGGGCCCCCGGCTTCTCCCACCTGCTTATTCCTCTGCATTCAACATCGGGGAGACCAGTTCCACTCCTGGGCTCCCCCACGAGGAAACGAGGCTGGCGTGGAGCGGGCCTCGGCGAACGCAGGCTGAGGGAGGGGGCGTGGGCAGCGTTTCTCCCCATCGGATCCCCGTGACCCTCGACATGTAGCCCCAGTGCCCAGCTGCCCTGTCCCACGTCACCACAGACAGACAGCTGTCCGTCCCCACCCGTCGCTGACCTATGACCGGAGAGCCAGGCTGAGCCGGAGAAGTGTGAGACAGCGGGCGTCCGCACGGATACACAAACGCAGGGAGAACGTGAAGAAGAGAGACTAGGACAGTAAACACGGTTCTGTAATTTAATCCAACCAAGCGGGGGTTCAGGGGGGGCAGACCGAGAGAACTAGGTTGTATGACTTGGATGCAGTGGTCATGGGCCAGGGGCAGCCCCATGGGAGGACATGGGCTCTCGAAAAGGCACTGCGTGCCCGCCAGCCACGCAGCAGTAACAGTCACACCTTATATTTTGGCAAAACAACCTAAAAGTTGACCTCACCTCCGTCCACTGAGATGGAAACTCCACCCAGATCCAGACAGCCCCAGGCCCCGCCGACGGGAAGCCCTCAAAGATTCGAATTTAAAAATAAAGATGAGCCCCGGCCGGTGTGGGTCCGCGGATAGAGCGTCGGCCTGCGGACTGAAGGGTCCCCGGTTCGATTCCGGCCAAGGGCACGGACCTCAGTTGCAGGCTCGATCCCCAGCCCTCGTCAGGCCTGACTTCTTGGCACAGTGACTGACAGAGGAGAGAGCCCTTGAGAATCGCTGGTAGAAATGGCCGGCTGATCTACCCAGTGAGATTTGTATGGTGACGTCTAAGTTAAGGAAAATAGATTTTTTTTAAAAAATTGCTAAGAAACCACAATGGCTTTTCAAAGAAACCACAGATCGCCCTGGCCGCACACACCGGCAGCCCCGGGGGGCCTCAGCGACCACAGACCAGAGGCCCTGGAGCCCCGGCCTCGGCACCAGCCGGCCCAACGGCCTGGCTCTGTCCCACGTCACACGCAGAGGTCAGATCTGACCAAGCCCTCGGAATTGTCTAACCGTTAGACAAACTGGTCGGCAAACTGCGGCTCGCGAGCCACATGCAGCTCTTTGGCCCCTTGAGTGTGGCTCTTCCTAAGCCTTAGGGGTACCCTCATTAAGTTAATAGTAGTTTAAGTTTAAAAAACTTGGCTCTCAAAAGAAATTTCAATCGCTGTACTGTTGATATTTGGCTCTGTTGACTAATGAGTTTGCCGACCACTGGTCTAACCAAAGCACCCCATTCCACCGGCAGGAACCCCAGAGAGGAGAAGGAACACGCAGTGAACCAGAGGCCGGGACCCGGCAATACGTCCGGCCACCCCACCCCACCCCGTCCTCCCAGTCAGGGGCTTCTAGCTCATTCCCTCTGCCTCTTCATCCCCAGGCGGCTGATCAGAAAACAGAGGCACAAAAAGGAAACTGAGGCACAGAGCCGGAGGGAGGGGGCCCCAGGTCTCCAGGGCGCACCAGCCAAGGACTGGGAAGTGGCTCTCCAGGCCCCAGGCTCCGCCCTGGTCACTCATTCAACAGCGAAACCCAGGCCTGCCGAGAGGCCGGCCCAGAGCCCAGGCCAGTCTGGGCAGAGACACAGCTGTGTGAGGCCCGGATGGAGCCGGGAGCTGGGCCTGGGCAGGGGAGCAGGACCGAGGAGTCCTGCTGGGCACCACGGCCATGCCCAGGTCTGCCAAGGCCCAGAGGGCCAGGCCCCAGCTGCCTGCTGCCCAGGCCGAGCCTGGTGACCCCACTCTTCTCCGCTCGTTTCCTTCTTTTGCCCCTGGGAGTCCTGACCTCCTTTCCCGCCCCGGCTGCCCAGGGAGGACCACAAGCCTGGCTCCATCGCGGGGTCTGGGCTGCTGGGCCAGGCGGAGGGAGAGCCGCCCAGGTCTCCCCCATGTCAGCCGCTCTGGCCGCACCAGGGGCTCCGCTGACCTCTCCTCCTGGGGGGCGAGGCCCACAGTTCCTTAGCCCGGGAGGCCCTTCCTGCCACCGTGTGTCTCAGCAGCGGGACAGACACCCCTGGGCCCGCGGAGGAGTCCGGGAGCATCACTTAACGCCATTAAACCAAACGGCGAGCAGACGGCTTCCTGCTTAAAGGGGTTCAGTCCCCCCACAATGTGGAGGCAGGCGCCTCTGTCATTCCCTCAGCTCCCCTTAAGCGGACGCCAGGGTGGGTGGGCTCCGGGCGCCCGGCTTTCCCACCCTTTTCACGGTTCGGGGAGAGAACTTGGTTTCACCACCGCCCGCCTTCACCTCTTACTTATGGTGAGTGATGTCGGTTTTCCACTCGCAACAGCGACATCGCTTCCTTTCAAAACTAAACTTAGTCCCAGGTGAGTCCAGCGAACACAAATGCAGTTTTAAAAACACGCAGCGAGTCCCCGTCCAGGAGCGGAGGGGCCGGCAGAGGCGCCGGGATGAGCTGGGGCTGAGTGGAGGGAACGTGGCCCCTTCCCTCACCGCCTGCGCCCTGCCCAGGCCGGGTTCCTGCTGCCCGCCGGGCACAGGTCAAGGTCGGTTCCTCCGGCCTGAGCACCGAACCACGGACCTTCAGATCCAGACTGCCTTCTGGGCCGAGGCCGGCGGTCGGGCCTCTCGGAGAAAAACCGAGAGTGGGAGGATGGAGGTGGGGAGGAAGGGGGGCACTCCGACCATCTGCCTCAGCTCAGGGCGGAAGGCGGCTGAGCCCAGGCGCCCCCGGCCTGCGGGAGGGCCAGGCAGACCCGCACGGCTCAAGGCCCTCACGCGCCCGCTCCCGGAGCCGAACGCTTTCCCAAGACCCGGCGTGCGGGCAGGAGCTCGGAGAGGCGGAGGAAAGAGCTCCCAGGCTCCCAGCTGCCTCAGATCCCTCCCGTGGGCCTCCCCCTCACCAAACTGGAAGCACCTGGCGCCCCGCTGCAGGTGGACCCAGACTCCCTCGGCCCAGAATTCCGTGTTCACACCCGTAAACCCCCAGTAGCCTCCAATGGCCATGGCCCGGCGCCCAAGCCTCCTGGCCACCCGATGGCCGGCCCGGTCACAAGGGCCCTGGCACCCGGGCGAGCTCAGAAGGGAAGGGAGGCGGCCACCAAGAACTTTCCTGGTCATTTGTGTCCTAAACTGCCCCAAATGGCTGTGCCCAGGCCCCCAGCAACCGGCTGCCCTCACCTCCCCGGCTGCCAGGACCTGCCTGGATGGCTCTGCTGTCAGTGGCCCCATCGGGGGAGCCCACCTTCTGCCGTGGCTGGTCCTCTCTCTGGAGGCCAAGGGCTCCTTCCTGACAGTCGGCAGGACTAGGGGTGGGGGCTGCTGAGCCTGCGGTGGGAGGCGTCTCCCCCCAGGGCCTGGGAGCCGCTGGCAACAGCACCCTGTTCCTGACCTCGGCCTCAGGCGCAGCCCAGCCCCTCCGGGGGTGCCGTCCCCTCTCCAGGCCCCGAGACTGTGGGCAGAATGGGGGGGGGGGGCTCCCTGGTGCCGGAGCACGGCCTTGGGGCGACCAGGCCCCAGAAAGGCGAGTGGAGAGAACAGTTAGGAAGCGGCCAAGAGGCCAGAGCCGCGTCCTCCAGGCGGGCGGCGGGCGGCGGGAGGGGGGCTACCTGAGAGGCCTGCCGTCAGCGATCCAGCGACCACGAGGAAGAGCCACAGGCTCGGGGCCATCTCTCGCTGCTCCGCGTGTCCGCCGGAGGGAAGTGGCATCCCAGGGCCAGGAAGCGGGCGCGGCGAGGAGTGCCCCTCTCGCCGCTCGGCCTGTGCTGCGCCCGCTGGGCCCTTTCTCTGCGCAGGAGCGGGCGCCCTCGCACGCAGGCGGCGCCCCAGCCTGTGAGCCTCAGCCCCGGCCTCTGCTTGTGGTTTCTTCTCCAGGAAGCCAGGCCGGTGCTGCAGGGGCTGTGGGAGGCCCCGCTGCCTCTGCTCTGAGCCCACTGAGCCTGGATGGACCCAGGAGACACAGTGACACACACACACACACACGTGCACACACCCACGCACACGCACATACCCACGCACACACCCAGGTGTCCGCGCGCGCACACACACACACGTGCACACTCATGCACACGCGCACACACACACACACACCTAAGGAAATCGAAAGTGGACACGGCATGCCTGGTTTCTGGAGACCTGACACATAGTAGGTGTTCAGCTGATCTGTGATGGAAAGGTGCACGAGGGACCCACTGCGTGTCCCATTCCGTGGAACCTGGCTCTCCTGGGATTACGTCCCCAGAGTCGCCTTGTCCCTGGGGCAGTGATGGCTGGGGAGAGGGAGGGAGGTGAGGCCGGCACTTTGGGAGGGAGAGCCTCTGGTGTCCCTGGCAGAGCCTAAACCGGGAAGGCCTGAGAGACGGTTTGTCCCCACCCCGGTGCAGGCCGCAGCACCCCCTGCGCTGGCACTGGCGAGGCCGGTGCCCCCCACACACTGGGCCCCCAGCTTGGCGTCATCCCTCGGAGGAGCTGGGCCCGGAGGCTGAGCTGGATTCCAACAGGGAGGGCTGGCGGAGGCCTCGGGCCGGCGGGAGCAGGGGGAACAGGGGGGTGGGGGGACAGGAACACAGGGATGTCCAGCTGACCGCACTGGACACTGGGAAGGAGGCACGGGCACCTGTGTTAGTTCCCGTGCGCTCCCTGTGGGGCTGAGGTGGGGCTGAGGGACAGACCGCCCAGTGGGTTCTCCATGCAGAGCCGTGCAGAGGTGAGGAGACGGTCCCAGGTTCCGGCCGGCGGCCCTGTGCGCCCCATCTCAGGTCCGCCTGGCCCGGCCCTCCCTGTCCCCGCGCCTTCATTTCCCCGCCAGCGTCTCCCATTTCCTGGTCTGTGGGGTCCTCACTTCCAATGACTTGTGACAGCGGATTCTGGAGGATTCTCGGTGGGGTCCCACCAAGAGGGCCTGTGACGTTGCAGATTTTGGAGCCACAGGAGGCCAGGCCCCTCCCACCTAGACCCTCCCATGCCCACGGGTAGAAAAGGCTCCGGCTCTGGCACCGGCTGAGGCTGCCCCCTGGTGGGAGGTCGCTGGAAGCACAGGTGGAGGATGGGTGCCTCCAGCCTCCAGATTGCATTTCATTCAACTGACACTCGGCGAGCCGTGGTGGGCGGAAGTCTGGCGTGGGCTCCATGGGAAGTGGGGGGACCGGCCTGCCCCCGGGGAGCACGCAGGCACAGCGCAGGGGCCGGACGCAGGCCCGGGCGAGGGGAACGTGCTGGGGGTCTGCTGACCAGCAGGGTCTGGAGAGACACGCCTTTGGAGAGTCCAGGAAAGACGACTTGACGTCTGTTTCCGGCAATATGGCAGACGCCACAGAAAAGTTCCAAAACCAAACCAAACAAAAAATCTGGGCAACAAAATCTAAAACATACTGAGAAGTGCATCGCTGAGGCGGCAAGACACTGCGGATAATTATCAGCAACCAAAGATGAGAGGAGAGCACAGACCCAGGGGGCCACGGCGAGCGGACGCTGCGCGCGCCCGAGGCACCTGCTGGCCGGGTGGCAGGAGCCCCCGTTGGATGGGACGAAGCCTGGAGTCCTGGGCAGAGTGGCCACAATAAAACCCAGACCTCGGGGGAGAGGACGAGGCCCGCCGCTTAGGGCAGCGCATCTGCTTTGCTCGGTCTCTTGGTTCGAATGTGTATCTCCCCCAGGAACACCCCCACAGACGCACCCAGAAATATTACTTAACCAAACGCCTGGGCACCTTGTGACCAGTCAAGCGGGCACGTACCATTCACCATCACAGCAAGTCATGTGAAGTGAGAACCGCACAGAGCAGTAAATGGTGGACTTGGACCTTTAACCTTTCGATGGAATTATGGAATCTGTAACAGAACGTAAGGATGCTTCACAGGCTTAAAGAAGTAAAAGTTAGTCGTCCCGGTATAGACAAGGACTGAGACTATTTTAAATGACCAGGAAGATTTGAAAGGAAAAAAAAGTAGTACTTCTATCAACCAAAAATATAATCTTCCAAACTAACAACATAAAGATGGATTGAACAGCAGATGAACACAGCTGAAGAGAGAGCTAGTGAGCAGGAGGACAGACCTGGAGAACTTACCCAGAATGCAGCAGCACAGAGACACAAAGGATGGAAACTGTGAAACAAGGGTTTGAATAGGTCGATCTGGAAAATTTCCAGAACCGATGAAAGGCACAATCTCGGGTCCTGGACGCTTCCCCAAACCACGCGCGATCAATAGAAAGAAATCGACAGCAAGCACTTACATGGCAACGCTGCCAACCACTCAAGAGAAGGCGGATGAACTCTGAGCCGGTCTTGCGGCCGACTTCTCAACCTCGACGACTGAAGCCAGAAGAGGGTGGAAGAACAGCTCGAAGTGCTGGTGAACATGAACGTCCACTTTGCAATGTTTCCAGGTGGAGGTTGAACAGGTGCAGGTCCAGACACAAACGGAGAGCATCTACAACCAACAGGCCCCAGAGACATTCCGGGTAGGATCCTCGGGAACAAGGAAAACCATCCCAGAAGGAAGCGTAAGACCCAACTGGGAATGGCGAGCAAGACACCATGTGGTCAGGGAGACGCATTGCATGAGCACGGATGGCATGAAGCAATTCTAATTTGTGGGGTTAGAAAAAAAGACAAAAGTAAAGAACCAGAAAACCATAACAAGCCAGCTGGTAAGGAGTGGCGGGTACAGAGGGTCTCTTACTTGGCGGGAGCACAAAACAGTGGCTAACGTTTGACTCTGTTAAGGGCAGTGCATCTATTAGACTAGCAGATCCGTAAAACGGAACGCAGGGGAGCCCGCTCCAATGCCAGGAGGAGGCAGGAGAGGAACAGGAATGACATGAGAGGCGGGACCAGCAGCAGGACGGGCAGGTCTCGGCAGGTGGAGGTGGGCGCCTGGGCGGGCGGTAGGCAGGGCCCTCCTGGCAGAGGGCACAGGGCATGCGGGGGCAGGCGCGGTGCTGAGAGCCTCGTGGGGACCTGATGGGACACGCTTCACAGGCGAGTCTTTGCTCGGGAAGCCGGAGGATGTGCCCAGCCGGGCGCCCAGATCGAGCCCCGTCACCGCAGCTTCGAGGAAAGACGGTGTCGGTGGTGTTCCACAGAGAATCACAGCCGGAGGAACAGAAATCAAACAGCAGCTCCTTCTGCTCGCAAACCAACGGGCACCAGCGCCCGTCCCAGGAGCCCGTCCCGGGGCCGTCCGCCGGACTCAGCGCGAGTGCCGTGTCAGGGCTCCCGTCTGGTCGCGTAGAACGCTCAGGAGCAGGCACGGAGGATCGCGGCTCACAACGCTAGTAACGTCCCTGCTCCGGTGAGGGCGCCTTTACGTATCAGGCGATTCGTTTTCCCCTCCCACCCCGGGTGCTGGGGGGATGGACCCCATGGCGTCTGGTGCCATCTCGTGCCCGCGCTTCCATTCGGGCTCCGGCACCAGCAGTCTCACCACCGTTGCTTTGGGGTCACAAGTTCCCTCTTCCTACTGTGTTGTTATGAGAAGGCCCTGGCCTCGGCGATCCCTGAGGGGCTCAGGGGCTCGTAACGGTCCGGACGCAGGTGAACACTGGCGGTTCGGAGGGAAGGGCCATGGCGCTCAGAGCTGAGCCCCGGCATCTTGGGTCCCGCTCTTCCCCTCAGCGTTGCCCAAGACGTAGGCCCCTCTCCCAGGGGCAGCTCAGGGGAGATCTGACAGCAGGGACACGCTGTCACTTGTCTCCTCCCTCCCATGGGTAGGCGTTCAAGGCCTTTCCCCGTCCTGGCCACGCCCCGTGGAACCTTTACGTGCGGTCCCCGCTGAACCCAACGCTCCCTGTGGGGCCCGGGGTCGAGTAGCGATACCCGACAACAAACTTGACCTTCGTGTGATCATCGCAGCCTCGGAACCACATTAGAGGAACTCGGGAAAATTAGGGAGAGGAACAAAGTCACCATCATCTTATCGCCTTGGCAACCGCTGTGACGCTGTGGCCCAGGGTGGCCCTGAGCGCTGTGACTCATCCTGAACCACCGCTGATGAAAAGCCCCCGGATCTTTCTGTCCGGCTGCCGCTCAGCCACGTCCTGCCGGTCCCTTCCAGGTGGGTCTGGAGGCCCCGCGAAGAGGGCCTGGCCTTCGGGTCTGTCCACCCTGCCCGCACGGAGCTGCCTGCGGTGGTGTCCTCTGGGCCTGGGGCCCCCGGGCAGAGGGTTTACCAACCCTTCCAGCGCCGTACGCCCTGCGAACAGGGCCAGCCGAGTCCGCACCAACGGTCTCTTTCGTAAGTTCTCCGGCGGGAATTCGAGTCTTGGACGATGGCGTTCAATAGTGAAACCGCACTCCCTCGTGACCTGTCTCTTCTGTACTCGCGTCCTGTGGCTGCTGTCTCCGATTTCCACGAGGGTCCTCCCGCCGGGGCCTCTGGGAGACCCTGTCCCCGGCCTCTGCCCCCTGTCTGCTCTGTTCTGCTCTTCTCAAGGCGTCTGGCAAACCCAACTCAGTGGGTGAGTGTCGATCTATGAACCGGGAGATCACGGTTTGATTCCCGGTCAGGGCACATGCCTGGGTTGCGGGCTTGATCCCCATTGGGGGGCATGCAGGAGGCAGCTAATCCATGATTCTCTCTCATCATTGATGTTTCTATCTCTCTCTCCCTTCCCTTCTGAAATCAGTAACTATATATAGTAAATAAATAAATATATATATTTCTTTTAATTAAAAAACAATAATGAAAACAAGAACACCCACTTCACACCATGTGGCCAAATGCAGTCTGGGCCAGACCCCATGTCCGTGGGCTGTGGTCAGGGCCCCCCACTCTGGGCCTCCTCAGAACTAAACTCCCGCTCTCCGGCCCCCCCACCCCCCACTGGCCATCAGCGTCACACTCGTGCCTGGGTGACAGTCACATCTCCCTTCAGAATGCTGCTCCCTCTCCGCAGGGGCACACCGCCCTCGGGTCTCCCCGACTAAGCAGGTCCCCAGGACTTTCCCGATCCACCGCGCCTGGTGCCGGGCCCCACACAGCTCGGGGCCAGAGGCTGGACCGAAAGGAGGAAACCGAGCTCCCCTTTCCTTTGGTCTTCCCTCTGCTGCCCACGTGGTTATGCGGGACTTTCCCTCCGGCCACACGCCCTGCAGGTCCCCGGCAGCAGCTTAGCACTCGCATTGGCAAGGCTCGGTCCCTGGGTGGCAGGTGGCCTACCCACCTCGCTGACACCCTAGCCAAGAGAGGACAGAGCTGTCCGACGGGATGTGCACTTGGTCACCACTCCCTGGTGACCCTGAGCTTCCTCCAGAGAGAGGCCAAGTCGGCTGAGCTGGACCAGCGGGCGAGCTGGGGGCCCGCCCGCCCACCCCCTCCCGAGCCCTGGTCCCTGCCCGAGGTGGCTGACCCAGAGGCTCGGGCCAGCTCTGCCTTCTCGTCACCTGCGTTACGCCCGGCCCTGCAGGGGCTTGTCCCATCTCTCACCGCGTGGCTACTTACCCCTTCTAAAAATTGTAACAGCCCTGGCTGGTGTTGCTCAGTGGATAGAGCGTCGGCCTGCAGACTGAAGGGTCCCAGGTTCGATTCCACTCAAGGACACGTGACCGGGTTGTGGGCTCGATCCCCAGTAGGGGGCATGCAGGAGGCAGCCGATCCACGATTCTCTCCCATCACTGATGTTTCTGTCTCTCCCTCCCTCTCCCTTCCCCTCTGAAATCAATAAAAATATGTTTTAAAGAAAGAAAAGAAAGACAAGAAATGAGCTATCAGGCCACGAAAAGACACGGAGGACACCCGGGTGCACCGTTCGAAGTGGAAAGGAGCCAGTCTGCAAAGGCTGCCTCTGGCAGGACTGCAGCTGCGTGACATTCTGGAAAAGGCAAAACCAGCGAGACAGCGAACAGGTCAGGGGCTGTGGTGGGGATGGGGTCGGGGCCCGGGGGTGGGAGACCACCAGAGCAGAGGGTCACTGGGGCAGTGGAGATGCCCGTATGATGTTATAATGGATATGTGTCACCACACCTTTGTCCAAGCCCATACGATGCACAGCATCAAGCGTGAAGTCTCGGGTGATGATGGGAAAAGACACGACCATCCATCACGGGTGAGTGACGCTGAGGGGGCGGCTGTGTGCGTGTGGGCGCGGGGGTGCATGGGACATCTTTGTATCCTCCCCTCAATTTAGGGGTAAATCTAAAACTGCTCTAAAGAAATAAAGTCTTAAAGAGAACAGTTTGACAAGCCCCATGGGACGCCTGTTCTACTGGGAGGAAATAAACCAGTCATCGAAGGAGCACCGTGTGCCCTGAAGACGTTAAATCAGGACAAGGAGGCCGAGAGACGGTGGGAGAATCCACGTGCTACTTCGATGGGGCGATCAGGGCAGGCATTTCAGCCGAGACCTAAATAAAGAGCAGCAGCTGGCCATGCAGAGGCCGGAAGGAAACGGCAGATGCAAAGGCCCTGAGGCAGGAAGGAGCTTGGCCCGTTGGGGGGGGGGGGGGCAGAGAGGAGGTCGGTGTGGCTGGACTTGGGTGGACTTGGGCTGCTGGAGGCTGGAGGAGGGCAGGGGTCAGTCTCGCGGGGCTTTGGCCGGGGGAGGGCGGGCTCTCCCCCCAGGTGCCCTGCAGGCTCTGAGTGGGGGCGGGGGGGGGGGGGGCGGGGGGAGTGCTGAGGCCCCACTCTGATTTCGTCTGAGGTCCGGTCCCTCTCAATCTCAACCCGCCTGTGGGTAACGATGACGCCACATGTGTCCTGGGGATGGCGACTTCCTTCCTGGCGGGGAAACTTGCACAATCTGAACTGCATTTCGAGAGCTTCCCTGTCCCTCAGGGGCCGGGCAAGGGTTCCCCCTCCTTCAGTTCCCATAACCCCTCATCCTGCCTCCCTCCCCCTCCCCCAGCCTCAGTCTCCCTGTTCACAACGTGGGCGGGCGGGACCCAGTGGCACAGGGCGGGGCATCATTCCAGCTTGGATGGCAGCTGGGAGAGGATGCAGCCAGAATGGGCTCAGGGGGAAATGAAAGTGAAAATGGACCCGTTCCTCCGGGCTCAAGGGCGGGGGACAGGCAGGGCAGAAGGGAAATTTTTAGAAAGCTGGGCGGCTGGGCCCCTGTGACCGACCAGGCTTTCATTTCTCCTGAACACCCCGCAGCACCACGTGACGCAGCCCGGCCACCGGCCAGAAAGGGGAAGGAGCCAGGGGACGGTTTCTCGAAGCGCAGACGGCTGGACAGAGGCCGGCGGGGACCTGGAGGGGAGGTCGAGGCAGCCGAGGGGACAGCAGAGGGCCCTCCCCAGAGAGGGGCCAGGTGTCAGTCACACGGGAGGGGGCATAGTTAAGAAGGGGCCAAGGGGGAGACCCGTTAGCTAGAAGGAAGGGCGGGCAGAGAAGCGCCGGGGAGGGGGTGAGGGCCGGGGGAGGGGGAGCAAGAGCGAGTCCAGGTGGAAAAGGAGGAAGAGTGGGGGCGGGAGGGGGAGGAGAGGGAGGAGGGAACCTGGGCACAGCAGAGGCGGGCAGGGAAGCCAGGGGGCAGAGGTGGGGGGAGAGAGCGGTAAGGGGTGAGGACGGAGGGCGCCAGTGGGGGGAAGGAGAGGACCGGGACAGGGCGGGGGGGGGGGGCAGCGGGATGCCGGGGCCGCGCGCCCCGGGGGAGCCTCGCGGGCGCGGGGAGCGCCAGGCGCTGCTGGGGCGCGGGCCGCGGGGCCCCGGGCGGCGGACGGCGGCGGGCGCGGTGCTGCTGGTGCAGGCGCTGGAGCGCGCGGCCTTCTTCGGCGTCGCGGGCAACCTGGTGCTCTACCTCAACGCCAGCTTCCACTGGGCGGGCGAGCAGGCGTCCCGCGCGGCACTCGTCTTCCTGGGCGCGTCCTACCTGCTGGCGCCCGTGGGCGGCTGGCTGGCCGACGTGTACCTGGGCCGCTTCCGAGCCATCGCGCTCAGCCTGCTGCTCTACCTGGTGGCCTGCGGCCTGCTGCCCGCCACCGCCGTCCCCGACGGCCGCCGCTCCTTCTGCGGGGAGGTGCCCCAGGCGCCCATCACGCCCGCCTGCCCCGCGCCCGGCTGCCCGCGCCCCGCGCCCGCCCCGTACTGCGCGCCCACCCTCTACGTGGGGCTGCTGCTGCTCGCCCTGGCCGCCAGCTCCGTCAGGAGCAACCTCACCTCCTTCGGGGCCGACCAGGTGAGTGGCCGGAGGGCGCCCCCTCGGGAGGCCGGGGCAGAGACCCAGGGTCGGGAGGCCTGGCTCCCAGGGTGACCTCGAGCAAACAAACCACTTCCCCAATCTGGGCCCAGTTTCCTTGTTTGAAAGAACTGGGGAGAGGGGGGAGGAAGGGGGGCGTTGCTCACTCTAACAAGGGCACCGCGACCATAGTCATTAAACCGCAGTTGTCCGTCTTTCTCTCGGTGCCACTCTGGGTGTTTCAACTCATCTGATCCTCTTGACTAGCCAGGAGGCAGGTGGTATTGCTGTGCCCATTTTACAGGTGAGGACAGTAAGGTCTCAGGACGTTAACCGCCCTGACCAAGGTCACGTAGAGAGCAGGCCGAGGGGGGCAGGGTGGTGGACTCCAGGCCTCAGGGTGAGACCCACCTTTACGTGTCCCAGTGTCTGGGGGTCCGGGCCTTCCTGCCAGCTATGCCAGAGGTGGGGTCAGGCCGGCTTGTCGAGCCCAGCTCTGCCACTCACTAGGCAGGGCCACTCGGGCAATACCTTCCCCTCTGAGCCTTTATCCGGACCCTCTGGGCAGAGCAGGGCACACGGGAGGCATCCAATAGATATCTGCTGGATGGAGGAGAAAGGGCCTTACCCCGTGACTACGTTTCAATCGCTCTGCTCAGTGGGATATTAGGGCAATAACTTTAAATAACGGAATATGATTGAGAGCCACGGGCGGCGTTCACGAGCAAAAGCAGGCGCCGGGCGCGTGCAGAGTGCGGCCACCGCCGGGCGAAAGGACTCGGCGCCAAACCAAGGGGACAGCCCGGCCGAATTGCTACCAGTGGGTGATCCCGTCACCTACCTCGCTGCCTGCGCTTTTCCTAGTTGTCCCTGCTCTTCAGCGTCTTCAGCTGGTGTCTGCGGCCATAAAAGGGGCCTTTTTTAAGGGATCATGGCACCCAGCTGGCACCCACCGCCCGGCACCCAGCAGTTCCCAGGGTCCTTGCCAAGGGCTTGCTCATCAGCCCGTCGGGTTCCTCTGATGATGGGGACTCGGGGCCCCCAGAGCAGCCCTGACCATTTCTGAGCCGCCGCTGACCTTCCTTCCGACCAGGAGACCCCACTATCTGGATAGGAACTCATCTTCCCTTCATTCTCCCTCACTGGCTTCCACGACAGCCCCAGGTGTGGCTAACCTGTGCTCTGGCCCTCATCAGCCTCCAGAGGGCCTCAGCCATCCTGTCTCCCTCCCTCCTCCATCCTTCCTCCCCCAACTCCCCACTCCCCCTCCCCCTTCTCCCTCCCCCTTCCCTCGCCCCCTCCCCCCTTCTGGGAGTGGAACTGTCCCCGGAGGCCAGGCTACTGGGCAGAGCCTTCAGTGGCATCAGGAAGGACAGCAGCACCTGTGCCTTCTCCCCTGCTCTGGGCATGGACTTGGGGGCATCAGGCCACGCTGGAAGCTGCTTGAGGGGTCTGGGCCTGACCCCCGGGACAGTTCCGGAAGCCTGACGTGACTTGAGGCGGATGGACACCTTGCATTTGCGTTCTTTAAAGTGGCCTGGTTGTGTGGCTGGGAGGGACTGGAGTGGGCACAGCAGAGCAGTGAAGGCTGTTGCAAATCCAGACGGGTGTGCGGGTGGGAGGGCTTGGCACCATCTGGCAGACAGCTGTGCCCGGGACCCACGTGTTCACACACTGCCAGTCTCCGAAGGGGCCATCCATCATTCCCGACAAGTGTTCGTCTGTATTCCTGAATCGGCTGCCTGCTCTTCCCCTTAGAGCTGCAATTGTCAGATTCATTTACATCCAATTCAGCCATGGAAATGGTTGCTCATAATGGGACTTACTCGATTTTCTGCTTGAAAGTCCTCAGCACGGATTCCGCAGGAGGGGGCATGCCCGTCCCCCTCCATCATTCAGAATCTCCAAGGGAGTACAGTTTCATTTTATTTTATTCTTTAATATATTTTTATTGATTTCAGGGAGGGAGGGAGAGGGAGAGAGAGATAGAAACATCAATGATGAGCCCTAACTGGTTTGGCTGAGTGGATAGAGCGTCGGCCTGTGGACTCAAGGGTCCCAGGTTCGATTCCGGTCAAGGGCATGTACCTTGGTTGCAGGCACATCCCCAGTAGGGGGCGTGCAGGAGGCAGCTGATCAATGTTTCTCATCGATGTTTCTAACTATCCCTTTCCCTTCCTCTCTGTAAAAAATCAATAAAATTTAAAAAAAAAGAAAAGAAAAGAAAAGAAACATCAATGATGAGAGAATCTTTGACAGGCTGCCTCCGGCACCCCCGGAGATCGAGCCCGCAACCCGGGCATGTGCCCTTGACCGGAAGCAAACCCAGGACCCTTCAGTCCGCAGGCCGGCGCTCGTTCCACTGAGCCAGCCCAGCTCGGGCGGGAGTACAGCTTTAAAGGCCCCTCTGTGGACTATCGGGTCACATTTGGAAAAGGAATAAAATGCGTACCTTTCCCCCAATGTGACTGCAAAAGCAAAGCTTGACAAAACCTTCGCTCTGGAAGTCTCTCTCCGGATAGAAGGAGAGCGACGGCGCTGGAGGTGCGGGGTCCCTGAGCGGGTGAGGGGCTGACAGCGCACAGGACCGTTTATCGAGAGGGGCGACCTCCAGTCCTCACTGCTTTTTAGAAATGCAGGTGCCAGGCCGTGCCCAGGCCTGCTGAGCGGGCCTCTGGGACCAGGGTCTGGGCGGGCGGGGGCGCCCGTGTGGCTGCCCCGGGCCCGCAGAGCGGAAGGGGCCTGGGGCCTGGCTGTTGCGATAGATTCGAATCCTGGGTGAAGATTTGCAGCCTCTGCCCTGGCTGGGGCCTGCACTCCGTTCCCCTCCCACCCGGCGGCTGTGTCTGCTCTCCCCGAGGCACAGGTCAGAGGGAGGCGAGGCCGGATGGGGGGCTGGGCCCCCGTGGAAAAGTCTGCAACTCCCAGCGGTGGGGCACTCTCCGTGAGACCCCTCCCCGCTCCCGCAGTCACACGCATGCATCACGTCGAATCACACGGGGCAGACCGGAGGTCTTCGTTGGCTTTTTTTCTGATTATGAAGTTGGTGCGTAGTGTGGGGTGCGCAGTCAGAGACAAAGGGATACATCACCCAGACAGGAACGAGTGGCCTCAGACAGCTGCTCTGGGCACTGCTCGGCAACAATAAAAAAGCAACATGTGTCGTGGGCATGAAGCAGCAGCCGTGCCCAAGTGATCGCTAACCGGTGACTCCCGACAAAAGGGTTCATTCACGCAGTCACCAAATGTTTATTGAGCATCTGCTTACTGCCCGGGGCTGAGGGAAGTGCCGGGATGCCCACCCACAGACTCGGGACGTGCCCCTGAGGGAGAGAGGCTGCGGGGCCAGAGAGCAGGCCATGGCAGGGTGCCCCTGGCCCTCGCGGGCCCTCACTCTCCCACCCCTGCCTGGCAGGTGATGGGTCTTGGGCGCCATGCCAACCGCCGCTTCTTCAACTGGTTTTACTGGAGCATCAACGCGGGCGCGGTGCTGTCGCTGCTGGTGGTGGCCTTTGTCCAGCAGAACATCAGCTTCCTGGTGGGCTACAGTCTCCCCGTGGGCTGCGTGGGCCTGGCCTTCGTCATCTTCCTCTTCGCCACCCCCATCTTCATCACCAAGCCCCCCGAGGGCAGCCAAGTGTCTTCCATGCTCAAACTGGCCCTCCAGAACTGCTGTCCCCGGCTGTGGTGCCCCCACGCTGCCAGGTGAGGGGGCCCCTGGGTGAGGGGGGCTCTGGGTGAGGGGGACATCGTGGCCCAGTTGCTACACGTCTGGCAGCCCTTTAGGGTGACTGATCTCCAGGGGGCCAGGGCTGCCTCTGGGACTGAGGGCGGCGATGGAGGTCAAGGCGGCGGTGGCGGTGGTGGGATGGGCGATGGGCTAACTATGAGGGCGTTCATGGTCTTGACAGTGATGGTGGTGATAAAGCCGGGGTGCTGGTGTTAGTGGCCACGGGGAAGAGAAGCCCTGTCATGGAGATGGCAGTGGCAGGAGAGGTGGTGATGACGGCGGGATGATGTCCCGGGAAGGCTGCTGGGTATAATGCACGTAATTCTACACGTCCCTGCTGTGAAGTCTAAGAACTCGGCCACACGGACTCCTCCCAGGCCTGGCCCTTGCGCTTGCCTTACAGCTCCCTCCTGCCTCTCCCCTCCCTACCTTAGCCGCTAGCTACTTCTACGAGCAAAGCTGCCCCAGGCCTTGGGGGCTACAGCTCCCGTCAGTAGGTCTAGAGCGGTGGTTCTCAACCTTGGCTGCACATTAGAATCACCTGGGAATCTTTTTAAAATCCTGATTTCTTGGCCTCATCCTCCAAAAATTCTGTTTCTTTGTTACTCATGTTGTGGCCCCTCCCCATAACAAAGAAAGAATTTCCGGAGGATGAGGCCCAGAAATCAGGATTTTAAAAAGATTCCCAGGTGATTCTAATGCGCAGCCAAGGTTGAGAACCACTGGTCGAGCCAGTGGTCAGCAAACTCATTAGTCAACAGAGCCAAATATCAACAGGACAACGATTGAAATTTCTTTTGAGAGCCAAATTTTTAAAACTTAAACTATATCGGTAGGTACATTGTTATTAACGAGGGTCCTCCTAAGGCTTCGGAAGAGCCACACTCAAGGGGCCAAAGAGCCGCACGTGGCGTTGGTGACTGGTCACCTTCCCAAGGGCAGTGGCCGTGAGGACGCGGGAGCTGGTGATGGCGCCAACGGTGGAGTGGAGACAGGGTGGCATCGGAGGGGGGCTGTGGTTACCGAGGCCCGGGGAGCGGGTTAAATTAGGAGGTGAAGCCGTGGCCACGTGCAGGGATGACACCCCCACTTTATCCGCTGCCCACAGAGAGCCTGAAGGGGCCCAGCTGCTGCCTGAGCAGAGGCCGCCCCAGCCTGGCGCTTCCCCCCAGCAGGACATCGCCAACTTCCGGGGGCTGGTGAGGCTCCTGCCCATCATGGTGACCCTGGTGCCCTACTGGATGGTGTACTTCCAGGTGAGCACCCCTGCCCCTCGCTCTGGGGGGACGGGCTCCCCAGGCCCCTCACCAGAGAAGCAGGACATCGGAAAGGGGGTTTGCAAAATGAGCAGCTGGCGTGGGTCCTTAGTCAGCCCCCTCCCCCGGGGGGGAGGCGTGGAACACCAGGCGCTCAGCGCTCTGGGGCCAGGCCTTGCGCCCGTCTCTCTGGGCCTTGGCACCCCGTGCAAATGAGAGCGTGGACAGAGGCTAGGGGCCCCGCCCCGTCAGCTCTCCCCAGACCCCACAGCAAGTGAGGGGCAAGCTCAGTGCACTGAGTGCTTCGTAGCAGTGGCTTCCTGGCTGTGCCCAGTGTCCCCTGCAGAGCTTTTAAAAAACAAAGTCCCACCCAGACCACCGAGAGGGAACTGCAGCGGGGTGGGGGGTGGGGGGGAGCCTCGCGGAATCAGCTGCTCAGAGACACTGGCCTCTGCCTCTCGCCCCGCCCCGCGGTGAAGATGAGTAGGTGTGCATGTGTGCGTGCATGTGCATGTGTGTGTGCGTGTGCGTGTGCGTGTGCATGTGTGTGCGTGTGCGTGTCCACGGCTGATTCTGTGGTACCGCTGGTCAGGATATTGACGTCCTTCCACACCGGTTGATAAACAGCTGCTGCCCGCAGCCAGTGCCCGCCCCGGCCCAGGCCCTCCTGTGGGCGCACCAGGCCCCTCCATTTTATAGCACCTAAAGGCGCAGAGCCGGCGCCTCACCAGGTGCAGAGCCACTCCAGTGGGTCAGCCTGGGGACTTGCTTGGCCTCTGCCAGGTGCCCGCCCGGGGGACAGCGTGTCATCGCTTCCCCGGGTGGGAGCCCTCAGCCACGCCTGCCCCGGGCCTCCCTGGAGACAGCAGGTCCCACCAGCTGCGCCCGCTCTGGAAGAGAGCCGCCACGCAGCGCACGGCCAGGCCTGCTTCTGGGGAACAAGGCGGGTGGGAGGTCGTGCCCCCCGAGGCGGGGCGGGGACCCTGCCCGGCGCCCTGTGCCGCACGCGCGATGCCTGCCCGGGAGCCCGAGCGTCCGGCTGGCGTGAGGCGGCCGGCTCTGCCCGCCCCCCTCCTCTCTTGCAGATGCAGTCCACGTACGTCCTCCAAGGCCTTCACCTCCACATCCCGAGCATTTTCCCAAACTACCCCAGCAACAACTCGGGGGCGCGGGGAGCCCCGGCCGGCGGCTACAAGGTGAGGCGCGGTGTGTGCAGCCGGGGCAGGCCAGGCGGGCTTCCCCCTAGAGGAGGAGGGAATGAAGCGGCCTCCGCACTCCCCTCGCCCCACCTGGAGGGTGGGCGGGTTGTGCCACCGCCCCGCCACCCTGCCGGATGCCCAACTGCTCCAGAGAGTTCAGGCCAGTGCACTACCCCCTGCTGCTCTGAGCGGGCTCGCTGCCCGGCTTGTCCCCCTCCGCTCCGCCTCTCCCTCGCGGGACCCTGCCTTTCACCAGGACTTTCCAAACCAGCACCTTGGCATCTCAGAGCTGGCAGGAGAATGGCATATAGGCCACCCTACCCCCTTTGCTGCCCGTGGCAGACATCACTAATCAATACAGACATTCTCTATGCTGAGCTGGTGGATGTGCAGGCAGCTGCTACCAATGGGTAGAAGTTAGAGGAACCCATTTGCCACCGTGATCCAACCTCACCCCTAGTTACACAGCTGAGGAGTGTGCCTCCTGGAACGGGGGGTGGGGGGGCTGGCTCTGGGTCACCCAGGGAAAGTCTGGGGTCCCGGTCTCGGGCGCCAGCCCCGAGCTCCTTCGGCCTGCCAGCTGCCTCTCTTGGCTCCCTCGTGCCCAGATCCCGGAGGCCTGGCTCCTCCTGGCCAACGTGGTGGTGCTGCTGATCCTGGTGCCCGTGAAGGACCGCCTGCTGGACCCCTGCCTCCTGCGGTGCCAGCTGCTCCCCTCGGCTCTGCAGAAGATGGCGCTGGGCATGCTCTTCGGTTTTGCCTCCGTCGTCGTGGCAGGTGTGTGGGCCTCGGGCGAGGGCGAGGGAGCTGGGCTGGGGCAGGACGCGGCCAGCTCACTGTGGCTGATGCCGAAGCCGGGCCTGGGCCAAGTGTCTCCCCCACCCCCGCCCCGCGGTGCCATCTCGGCCTCCCAGAGGGGGGGCCCGGAGGGAGGTTTCCCGGGAGCCAGCACCCCCTCCCCTCGTTCGACACCTGAGGAAGCGACGAGAGAGGAAGCAGGTGTTCCCAGGGGTTGCCTGCTCGCCGAGGCCGGGATCCTGTCCTTTCTCACTCACAGCTGTGCACACTGCACGGGGCGCCAGACACACGTCGGGTTTTCCAAAGACACGCAGCCTCTTCGTAGCATCAGGGAACATCGTTTTTCAAGGATTTATTTACTCTCTTCCTTCTTCCATTTCAAAAGAATTGGAAGCCACTTATTTAAAAGGCGCTCAAGTGAGGCAGCCTTCCCTGCTGGCGCACAGGCCTCCGCTGTTTCCGATTAGTCACCTAACGATCCCCAAGTTTCTCGGAGCCTCTGAGCCTCTGAGCCTCATCTTTAAAACAGAGAGAGCGTCATCCATCCCGAGCCGGGGCGGGGCCAGGCTCCGCCCACGGGATGCAGCCCGCAGGCGTGCTGTGCAGGTTAAAGGAGATGAAGTCCGCAGAGCGCCCAGCACTCTGCCGGCGGCACGCGTCGGAGCCAGAGCGACGAAGGAACAGACTTGTGTTGCAAGGATGGAACCAAACTAGGTTCCTCGCGGGCGATGTGCTTGAGTGCACTTCGTCCTGTTTCGTCCTCGCGTTAATGCGGGCGCTTTCCGCCCTACTCCCCGCCGGGGAGCCGGTCCCGGCCAGGTTAAGTGATTGGCCCCAGTCACACAGCTGGTCGGTGGCGGGGAGGACTGGAACCCACCTCCACATGCTGCCTCCTGAGCCGCGAAGGGGACGGAGGGACACTGGCAGGCCAGGCCAGAAACCCTGCGGCGATGCTGCCGGAGAGGAGTCACGCGACACCACGGACAGTGGGCCAGCTTCGAAACCACACGCCCAGGCTCAGAGCCAGCCCCGATTTCTTGTCAGCTGTGCGACTCTGGGCTGGTTGCTTAACCTGAATCCCTCTCTCTTCACCTGCCAGGGTGTGACTACATGCCTTGCACACGACGGGCTCTCAATTAACAAGAGCTGATCCTCTTTTTTAAAAATATATTTTATTGATTTTCCACAGAGAGGAAGGGAGAGGGACAGAGAGCTAGAAACATCGACCAGCTGCCTCCTGCACATCTCCCACTGGGGATGTGCCCGCAACCCAGGTACATGCCCTTGACCGGAATCGAACCTGGGACCCTTCAGTCCGCAGGCCGACGCTCTATCCACCGAGCCAAACCGGTTAGGGCAAGAGCTGTTCCTCTTACTGAGTGCCAAACCTAGCTCTGAGCTTCCTAGCGGCCAAGGCAAAAAAGGGAAGAGTTGGAACCCAAATCTTGACACACACACCCTAGTCCAGTGTTGCGTTCCTTGCCTGCTGCCCAGTCACTGGCTAGTTAGTGAAGGCCCACAGGGTGCCACGCTCTGCCAGGGGCTAAGCTGCCTGGGGTGGGTCTGGCTGCAGTCCTTCCCTCCCACCCAGGATTGCTGGAGATGAAGCGCCTAGAATACATCCATCACAACCAGACGGTGCCCCAGCAGATCGGGGACAGCGTGTACTACGCGGCGCCCCTGTCCATCTGGTGGCAGACCCCCCAGTACCTGCTCATCGGCATCAGTGAGATGTTTGCCAGCATCCCAGGTACCCCGAGCCCCTCCCCCGCGCCCCCTCGCACCAGTAATGGGCGCGGCCTGGTGGTGCCTCCTGGTCAGAGGTCTCACGGCACAGCCTCTAGAGCCCATCTGCGTGGAGGAGGCGGGACCGGTTGTGGGGCTGCGCGCACCCAGTGGGGGTTCATCAGCACCTGGCCATGCCGGGCACTACAAGGGGCACGGGGATTTGGGGGTGACTAAGACACTTCCCGTTCGGACTTTCCACACATCTCCCGGCTGCCACGTCCCCAGCGGCTGTTCCCTCAGATTGAAAGTGAACTCCTGTTTCCCCTGCAATTCTGGGCCTCAGTGCCGTCTCCCTCACGAGGTCCCCCCCAATGCCCAGCCCAAGGCACAGGGTCCTCCCCTCCTCATCACCTGTCACAGCACACAGGTCGCGCTGCTGTAATAATGCAATTGTGTGTCTGCATCTCACAGCTGAGAGCGCTCAGGGCTGGGCAGGCTCTCCCAGGAGCCCAGGGACAGGGCCTACTCAGCTGCAGGCGCAGGGGGAGGCGGGTGGGACTCCCCATGGGATGGGGAAGGGGGGGATCAGTCTCCTGAACAGCAAGCCAGGGGAGTGCTGTGGAAGTGATTGGGGTGTCGGGGAGCCCGGGCCAGGTGGGGAGGGGACGGAACTCAGCGGTGGCAGCAGGGACCTCGCAGGCCGGGGAGCAGCACAGCGAGGAGCTGAGTCTTGCAGGGAGCGGGGGAGGCTGCCGGCGCAGGTCCTTGTGGGTGGAGCCTGGATGTTGAGGTCCCCCCCCAAAGGACGACAACCCCACCTGAGGGACCTGGGCAGGGAGGACCCCATAGAGAGGTCCCCGACATCTGGCTGTGGGGAGGACGGAGGCGGGAGTTTCGGAGGCATTTGCAGAGGCTGGGCCGGAAGTGAGCGCTGGGGTTTGGCCCAGGGCAGAGGGGACCCAGAGGGGGGCGGAATGAAGAGAGGTTCTGAGGCTGAGTCCAATGACTTGGTGATGACACTGAAGGCGAGCAGAGGACAGGGGCCAGAGGCTGAAGACGGCAGGGAGGTGAGGGAGGGGACCCAGAATCCTGGGACCATGTGGAGGTGTCCACGGGGTGGATGACAGGGCAGAGGGGACAGGCACGGGCGTGGTCATGGCCCCGGAGCAGTCAGGCATCGAGGGAAAGCCAGGGTGTGGCCGGCCGGGGCAGGGGCGGCCCAGTGGGCAGGGGCCTGGCCACCTGGCTCATCCCTCCCTCCTCCCTCCTCCCTCCTCCGCAGGCCTGGAGTTCGCGTACTCGGAGGCCCCGCGCTCCATGCAGGGCGCCCTCATGGGCATCTTCTTCTCCCTGTCGGGGGTGGGCTCACTGCTGGGCTCCAGCCTGGTGGCCCTGCTGTCCCTGCCCAGGGGCTGGCTACACTGCCCCGAGGACCATGGTGAGCGGGCCTCCCTGCCAGTGCGGGGGGGGGGGGGGGGGGGGTGAGGCATGGGCAGGAGGTGGCCTGGCCAAGCGCCCTGACCCGCAGCCGGATGAAGCAGCGCTGAAGTTGGCCGGTCACCCCAGCATGGCTGCCCTCCTTGGGCCTCAGTTTCCCCACCTGTCAAAGGGAAGCACGGAACTCGGGGTGCTTCCTGCTGCCGGAACCCGGCCGTTCCGGGGGAGGGGCCGCTGGCCCTGTGCTATGTTCTCAGCCCCAGAAAGAACACCGGCTCACGGGGCGCAGAGACCCAGGGCGGCCAGATGCTAGAGGGCCCCCCGCCCAGGGCCTTCCCATCCGCCTCTGGGTCACGCTGCCAGCTCAGGGGGGCCCTGCCCACCCCAATGCCAGCCTCTCCTCCCCCCAGGGAACATCAACAACTGCCGGTTGGACCTGTACTTCTTCCTGCTGGCCGGCATCCAGGTGGCCGCGGCCCTGCTGTTCGTGTGGATCGCTGGTCGCTATGAGAGGGCAGCGCAGGGCCCCGCCTCCCAGAGCGACTCCAACAGGGACAGGGGCTGACACGCGCCCCCCCGCCCCCCCAGGGCCCCGGACAGACAGCAGCAGGCCTGCTGGGCTCCCTCCTCCATTTATTCTGTACCAACATCAGATGAAACGATTCCCATAAATAAGGGGGTGAGCCCCTCCTCGCGACCGCGGTCCATGGCCAGGAGCAGGGCAGGGGCCTGGGCGGGGCTGGTGAGGGGCCGGGCGGGGACCGGGCCAGCGAGCACCGGAGAAGGAGCAGGAGGCCGCCCGCCGGGCGGGGGTCAGGAGCTGCCCCGGATCCGCTCCATGTAGCTGCGGAGCTCCTCGGGGTCCCTGAGCCCCATGTCCTCACACACCCAGCGGATGTCCTCCTCGCCCGCCACCAGGATGGACTGCACGGCAGGGGCCGCCACGGGATCCTCGGGCAGCTGGGCTGGGGACGCTGGCGCGAACGTCACGAACTCCACCCGCTTCCGGCGCCCCCCAGCTTCCTTCCGGGCCGGGGTGCCGGGGGTGCCCGCGGTCGGTGCAGGGGCCAGGGTCAGGGTCTCCCCGCCCCCGCTCTCGCAGGGGCAGCCGCTCTCCCCCTTGACGGGGCCAGGGGGCGGCCGGTCTAGCTGGCGGCCCAGGTCCTCCTGGTCGGTGCCCAGCCACACCCAGTTGTGGGGCTGTGGGGAGGCGGGGTCCGGGGCGCCGTCGGGGGGCTCCTTGCGCTGGTAGCGCAGCACAAACACCACCCCGTGGACCAGGAAGAGGAGGACGGCCAGGCAGAAGATGCCCAGCAGGGCGTACATGCCCAGCTCCAGGCTGGTCACCCGCCGAGGGGCGGGGACCATCTCCTCCTCTTCCCCCTCCTCCTCCCTCGCCTCGGCCTCCCCCTCCTCCTCCTCCCCCTGCCCGGCCTCTTCTGTCCGCTCAAACTTGCCCCTCACATGCCCGCTGCCCCCCACACTGCCCGTTGCCCGCCCTTCACCACCCACACTGGCCTCCGTGGCCGGTGCGGTGCCGGCAGGACCGGACGGCAGGGCCGGGGCCGGGGTGGGAGCCGGAGGCCGCCCCAGCCAGGCGGTGCCCGAGGCCAGGGGCACGCGGTGGCGGCCTCGGCGGCAGGGCTCCGGCGGGTGCAGAGCCACGTGCAGAGGCAGCGCCTCAGTGCCCGCCCCACTCACCACCACCCCGAGCCGGGCACCCCGCCCCTCGGCTGGCAGCACGGCGCTGGGCTCCTCGGCCGAGACGGAGAGCCCCAGGTCCTGGTGGGGGTAGAGCTCGGCGGGGGCCAGGGTGTGGTCGGAGAAGGACAGCCACAGCGACAGGGCCACCTCCTGCGGGGCACAGACAGGCAGACACCGAGGGCAGGCACGCCCACAGAGACAGGCCACACGGAGGGGAGGGGCCAGAGAGGAAACAGACAGGCAGATGGACACACACAGGGAGAGAGGGGACGGGCGTCAATCACCTGTCGGCCACTCGGCCCCAGGGTCCGAGCCATCGGGAGGGTCCTCAGTTAGAGCCATAATCAACCTCCCGCTGACACACTCCGGCCGCTGCTTGGCCACCCCTAGCCACGGAGAGCTCACTACCTCCAGGGCAGCCAGTCCTTATTCTGAAACCCTGAGGTAAGGGGTCGCGGTCCCTCCCACTCCCGTCACCAACCCCCACCTGGGGATACGGACCGTAGCCCCCTGACCCCCAGCTGTCACCTGCTTTGGGGCGGGAAGGGCTGGCTGCGCCCAGCACGTGGCTGTGACCTCCCCAGGGTGGGCGGCGCCCCGGCTCAGGGCCAGTGCCAGGCCCATGACCGGCTGCACCTGCAGCTCCAGCACCGAGACCTTGTCGTCTGTCACGGCCAGCGCCTGCTCCCCCAGGACGGAGTCAGACAGGGGGGACCGCACCTGAGGGTGACAAGGGCCAGCGGTGGGGTCCGCATACACAGGCCGCCTTTGCCCTCTGCGACCGGGACAGCCCCACAAAGGGGTCAGGTGTCTGCTCCCAGCACCTGCACAGGCTGCCCCCCCCCTCCCTGCTCCAACGCCAGACCCTATACATTCCTGCACCCCAATCCTCCTCCCTCCAGACCTGGTCCCCCCACACCCAACCCAGCCTCTCCCTCCATTCCACCGCCATCCATTCCCACCCAGTCCCCATCCCGCTGGGCTCAGGCCTCAATGGGTACACCCCCCCCCCCCAGGCCGCTCCGACACCCTTCACGCCCGCCCATGCACATTCTGGGGGCCGCCTGCACCCTTCTCGGGGGAGCTGCTCACCTCGATGGAGGTGACCCCGGGCTCCAGGCCCACCAGCACCCGGCCGCCCTCCAGCGACGCCACGCGCGGGTCCTGCACGCGGGCGTGCGGCGCCACGAGGTGGGACACGTCCAGCAGCCAGTCGGGGCCGAGCAGGTGGGTGAGGCGGCGGCCGCCGTCCAGCGGGTGGGCCGCAAACGGCACGAGGAAGCGCACGCCCGCGCGCTGGTACTGCAGGCGGCAGCCCCGGGCCCGCCGCTCCGCCTCCTCCCCGGCCGCCTCGGCCTCCGGCGCCCTGCAGGCCAGGGGCGGCCCGGGGGCGGGGCGTCAGCGCCGGCCCCGCCTCCCGCCGCGAGGACCCGCCCCGTTTCCTAGGCTCCGCCCACAGGCGCACCTGTGGGGCCAGGTAGGCGCTGAGTGCCGGGCCCATTCCTGATTGGTGCCTGTACCTATCCATCAAGCTGCTCTCCCCGCCCCCTCCCTCCTGCTCCTAATTGGAACCTGGTGGTGGCGGCAGGAGCCCCTCCCCCGGGGAGACAGGGTTACCAGGGTTACGGTCTGCAGGGCCCGAGCTCAGGTTCCTGAGGCCTCGCACCCGCGGGCTCTGGTGGGACAGCCCCAACCTTTACTGATCCAGGCGCCATGGTAGGCTTGGACACAGCAGAGAGCTGCCTTCAAGGGTTTGCATTCTAGGGGAGGGGTGTGCGGGGGCAGCCGTCCGTCCACAAACAGGACGAATCAGAGGACATCCGAGAAGGGGTCTGTACCATCCAAGTGCAGGAAGGTGGGGAAGCGGGAGAGTGTGGAGGTCGGCACGATGGGCAGAGGCTGGGCAATGAAGGGCCCGGATGGTGGCAGGAACCACCAGCAGCTGGGCAGTTTTCCAGACCCCAGCTGGAGCCCGTGGCTGTGTCCCGGCCCCTGTGTCCGCCCCCGAGCACCTTCGCCCAGGCCGGCCAGCGTCTCCAGGCCTCCACTCACCCCTCCGCCGGGCTGGGCACCCTCCAGCCGCGGACCTGCTCCAGGGTGGTGTCCGTCAGCTGGATGCGCAGGGGCAGCAGCGGGGCCCACACGGTCAGCCGCAGCGAGGCCCGCAGCTGGCGCCACCAGAAGTCCACCCGCACCCCTCGAGCGCCGCGGCTCTCCTTGCCCGTCACAAACACGGCGTCACAGGCCTCGGATACCTGTGGGAGGGCAGGGCGTGGGCCACGCCCGGGAGGACCTGCGTGAGTCAGAGAGCGCACCCTGACCCCGCCCGGGGCATGCCTGTCCTGAGAGCAAGACTTCACCAGGCAGCCAGGTCCGCCTCCCTGGAGGGACCACCACTCCAAGCGCACGAGGGGCTCAGCTGGGGGAACTGGCTATTTGCCCACAACAGAACCTTTCTCCTGAAAGGGGGGGTTTGAACCCCAAAATTTGCCTCCTGAGTGCTGGCCTCTGACTTTGATGCCGGAGCCACCTGGCACCCTGCTACAGGGAGGTAGGAGCCATGCGCACACTGGCCAAGTGCCACCAACAGTGGCCGAAGGCACCTTTCTCCCCTCAGGGGCCAGGATTTAGGAAACGCAGGCTCTTAGAATGTCAAGGTGGGCAGCGTTGCCTGGCCCCCGTTTTACCTTATGGGGCATGACGAGGCTCCAACAAGAATCAGCACTATTTTTATCATATCATTGTTATAGCAACAGCACCTGCTGGTTGTGCCCCTGCGTTCTGCTGCGAATGAATTGGGCTGCTTTTAATTCTTGCAACATCTCTAAAGCGCATTCCCATTTTAAAGCTTGGGAAACTGAGGCTCAGAGAGGCTAGGAGATTTGCCCACAACCACACAGCTAGCTGATCACCAAGGGTTTCAAACAGAAACTTTCTGGTCCCCAAGTACATGCTGTTCTCTCTCCCACGGCAGTTCACTCGCCAACGCAGTGATCACCGTGACAGGGCCTGAGCTGGGGCGGGGGTCACTCAGCTCCCACTGGACTCTGGGAAGAGGTGGTAGGAACAAGGGAAGGTGAGCTGTGGCACCCCCAAGAGGTCCCTGGGGCCACAGAGCTGCCTCGTGGGGACCTGAATGGGGAGGGAGGAAAGCTGTGTGTGCCTCACTGCACACAGCTGTGTGCTCACGCGGGACTGGACGTGCCACTCACCTGCAGGACCTGGGCATTGGCTGACTCACAGCCAATGTGCTCTGTCACCTCCACCAGAGCCCCCCCACGGTCCACGGTGACCAGGCGCACGGGGACCCGCCGCGGCACTCCGGTCAGCGGTGCTGTGTTCACCAGCTCCTCGGCCTGGGGGTGCAGGAGGAGCTCAGCCCCAAGCTCTTCCCCTCACGCGGCCCCCCACCTGGCAGGGCAGAGGGGGCCCCCCTTACCTTGGCCAGTGGGACGAGGGCTCGTATGTCCCGCTCCGATACCGGGATCTCCCACACCATTTTGTCCTTCTCTGCTTCAGGAGCCTGGCCTGGGTACTCCAGCTGCCATGTGACAGGGCGAGTGACTGCCAGGCCCCCGCTAGTGCCATTGTCCACCAGAAAGTCCACCCACAGGAACTCGGACAGCTCGCGGGGGCTGCTGGCAGAGGAGAGAGAGACTGAGAGCTTGCCGGCAACCAGGTGCTCTGTGTTCCTGAGGCACGGTCTGTGATCACCCCCATTTCACAGATGAGAAAACCGAGGTTCAGAGGTCACATAACTTGCCCAAGGTCACACGGGGAAAGCAGCAGGGCTGGCATTAAGCCCAAGCTTCCTGGCCCCAGCGCCCAAGCTCTCCTCCAGTCTTGGCCCTGCAGGATCCATGAGGCTCCCTCCCCCTCCCCCTCCCCCTGGCTCGC